AATATTTTAAATCAGTCCTGACAGCCACCTTCCCCCATTCTGCTTATGGAAATCTTAATTTAACCCTTTCCTGTGCAAATTACTTTGATTCTTTAGTTTCTACAATAAGAAGTGATTTCAGCATATCCATCGAGTGTAAAACAACCTTTTGCTGATCTTTTTAAGTTTTGTTTTGTTAATCCTCACCGAAGGATATTTTTCTATTGATTTGTAGAGAGAGAGAGTGACAGAGAGAAACATCGAAGTGAGATAGACACATCGATTGGTTGCCTCCTGCATGCACCTCAGCCAGGGCCAGGGAACCTGCAACCAATTTATGTACCCTTGACTGGAATCAATCCCAGGACCCTTCAGTCCTCGGGCTGACATTCTATCCACTGAGCCAAACTGGCTAGGGCTTGCTCATCATTTTTATAGTAATATTAGTGGCCCAGTGCACGAATTTGTGCACATTGAAAGGAAATTAATTAGAAGAAATATTTTAATATTGTTCTTCACCCTTTCTCAATAATAGCAGTGTTAACCAAAATCACGATCAACAGTGACAGATTGAAACACACGCATGTGATTGGCGCCAGCAAGAGCTTTACATATATATGATACTCCAGGACTTCTGTGAGGATCAAATGAGATGAGGCATGGGAAAACACCTCACAGACATTTGATTAAATTGTGAAATATTTCCACCTGGCTATAAAGCAAGTCGTCTTCCTGGGCTGAAGAAACTGCAAGGAGGCTAGTCGCTAGGGAGAGAAAGCCAGGCGTTGCTACATGACATCATTACCTGGCGCCCACAGCCACCGTTTTGGGGCTGCATTTTGCACCATGGGGTCCTGGCAGCATCAGTTGCAATTTGGTGGGGTGGGTGTCGTTCCAGGGTGGTGGCAGGGCCTGTGTCCCACTTGGGAGAAGCCAAGTGTTGCTTTGTGGGTGCCACGTCCACAGTGCCATTTCTCTGTGCACATCATGGCAGCACCAGTTGGACACTTAGCATATTAGCCTTTTATGTATATAGATTAGTGACCCAGTGCACGGATTTGTGCACATTGAAAGGAAATTAATTAGAAGATGGCCAGTGGGGAGAGACTGGGCAAGACAGGCCGGAAATGCCCTGGAGCCAACCTCCCGTGGTCCCTCCCTGGCTGGCTGCACCTGGGGTGGCGCCGTGGCTCGAAGGGTGTCTGCATAGTGAGCAGGGTCCCTCTGGCATGTAGGGTCCCTTGGCCTGGCCTGTGGGGATCAGGCTGAAACTCCGATATCTCCTGAGGGATCCCAGGGTGCGAGAGGGCACTATGCAAAGTTGCTGTTGTGCAAGGTGTGGAATGCAAACACAAGTGTGCAGTAAACCAGATTCAGGGCCAACAGTGCCCCAGCAACAACATAACTCACAGCCAAAGGTGGAATCACATGGCCCCATGAGGAATCGGGATCCCTCCTCTCTGGTTTCGGGGTGCGTCACCCAAGAACTGCTGCTGCCAAGTCACTGCAGCTCTGCAGCTCCTACATTGAGCATCTGTCCCCTGGTGGTCAGTGCGCATCATAACTACCGGTCGGACAGTTGGACACTTAGCATATTAGCCTTCTATATATAGAGATACGAAGCAAACTTCGAGAGTAAGAGAGTTGAATGAAAATACTCACCTTTTTATTACTGGCCTCTGAAGTAATATATTATTCATCACAGCACATATTTCCTGTGTATAACAGGAATTCTAATAAATAAAATGGGAATGTTTATGTCAAGGCTCCTGCAACAAGACTGGGTTATGTGGCTCCCAGGTGCAGACATCATTGATGAGTCAGTGAGCTAACAATTTTGCATGAAGGGGAGTTGGATGAGCTACCAATTCACTATTTTATTACCAATGAAATTTCCCTTTTTATTTTGTCAAATAGGCAAGATATACACATAGTTAAAAAAAATTTAAAAAAAAAACCCTCAAATTCAAATGGTAGATAAAGGGTATACAATGAAAAATGTCTACTTTCCTGTGCCCCCAATTTCCCTCTCTAGAGGCAACCCTGGATGTCAGTTTCTTGGATATTTGCCCAGAGAATTTTATACATTTGCAAATGTGTGTGTATCCTTTTTAAAAATATAACACTTGTACCTTTTTTATTTACATATCTTAGATGTCCTTAATATCAGTACATATAAAGTTAATTCATTTTTAATGATTGTGTAATGTATCTTTGTTGGATGTTTGATAAATTTTTTAATGACCAACCTCCTATTGATAGACATTTAGCTTGGTTGTAATATTTTCATGCTACAAGCAATATTTCAGTGAGTCTGCTTTATATACTTGGACTTGCAGGATAAATTCCTAGATCTGGAATTGCTGGGTCAAACAGTGTGCATTATTTATTTTGATAGACATTTTCAATTACCCACCAGAAGATGAATTATTTACAGCTCCATCAACAATAAAAATTTTATTTTTCCAATGACCAAGATTTCCTCTTCCCTTCCCACAGTTTAGATACCTAAGAAACTAAAACTGCAAGATTTATAATGAGCATAAACTGAAGCCACGGGAGCTGCATGGCCATGAGAGGTTTTCAGACAGGGCTCTTCCCCTGCGTCACAGGCTCTCCTTCTCTGAGATATCCCAAGTTTCTCTCTCTCTCTCGCTCTTTTTCTCTCTCTATCTCTTTTCTTCCCTCCCTCCCTCTCTTTTTTGTATCATGATTGATAAAAATCAGCAAACTCAGATATCTCTTTTCAAGACTCCATACCCATAGATGGTCCCTTTTCAGTATGGCATCATTACATTATCTTTCCTTTTTTAACAATGTGCAATTATTCTATTATACAGAGATTATGATTATTTTGTAGGTATTACATTTGAATTTGCCTGATTAGACATTACATGTGAGGGTATATATCCTTCAGAAATACAAATGTCAAAAGGATTATTTCCAAACATATTTTCTAAAGAATAGTAAGTCTGTTATAGGTTTATGAATTCTTAGCAGTAGCACTTTCTAGTTCTTAAGGGTTTGCTTTTTCCTGTCACTTATTTAAGTGTTGTTTTGTTTTACACTCCTAGGCCTGTCTGTGTTTGGGTCAATAGCCAAATCTGCTCTGATTACCATTAACTGCCCAATAAATTATTATAAAATGTTTTATAGATAGAATACTTTATAAAAGCTACCAGTGATACTCCATCCCTGGATTTCCTAATGGGTCACTAGTGAGTCATGTGTTAGGTAGAATTGGTGATTAAATTACATGAACTATGTCTAGTAAATATACAGTGAGCATGTAGTGTTAGGTTTTGTTGTTTCCAGGAATCTCTTGACAATTACTTCATAATTTAAATGGTATTTATTGTAACTACTAGATGCTTCCCATTTAATTTTGTGGGTAATTTGGTCACTGCTTTAGCCAGTAGCATGTTCTTTATTCACTGTCATCCTTTTGTTCTCTATTTTCATGTGTCGTCTATGCAAAGAAAGTCAAAGTAATCACCAGCTATTTATGTTATTAGAAGGAACTAAATATTTTATAACCCTGAAAGGCCAGTATAATTGGAAGAGGAAGTGGGAGTTGAGGTTAATTGGAGAAATTTTATTAGAAAACAGTGGATATTATTTTTTTACCCCTTCAATAATGTCTTAGACTGTTAATTATTGTAATCAGTATGATAAATTGTGGTAATTTGCTATGCTCTATGAATAATACATTAACAGATTTAGGATCACTCCTTCACTTTCTGTCCAGAAATTTCTTTTCTTAACAAATATTCTTATTAAAAATATTTTCCTGGTAACCTTAACCTTAGAACAAGTTCTATGCATTATCACCAGTGGGTATGATATACTTATTAGTCTATAGGAAACATGTTTTAGATTTCTAAATAGGATATCATTTTTTCCTCACTGGTTACATTTTTACCTTCAAATTAAAATTTGTGAAGGTTTGTATGTAAGCAGTTTGTATGTAGCAAATGATATAATTATTTGGAGTGGGGTACATATCTCTAAACTTTATCCTAAGAAAAAGAATAATGTCCTTATTCAAAAATTTTACTACAGAACAGCGTTAATAGGCTTTTTATTGACTAATCTAGGGTTCTAACTACTATTTTTTGTTGTTGTTAATTGATCTCTCACATTGATTTTTAGAGAGAGTAGAAGGGAGGGAAGAAGGGAGGAAAAGAAAGGAAGAGAGAGAGAGAGAGAGAGAGAGAGAGAGAGAGAGAGAGAAGCATCAATGTGAGAGAGACACATTGTTTAGTTGTTTCCTGTATGTGCCCCAACCAGGGCTGGGGATCAAACCTACAACCTAGGTATGTGCCCTTGACTGGGAATCGAACCCACAACCCTTCAGTCACAGGCCGACACTCACTGGCCAGGACTCTAATTACTATTTATTATGCATTTCTGGATGAAATTTTTTTGTGTTCCAAAAAGTTACAAATTTTAAAACAACAGTTGACACAAAACTCATTCCAAAATTGAGGACTAATTCTATTTTAAGTGTTTCTTCTGGAATTACATACTGAATAATTTTTATTTTGTACCGGGAGGGTTGTTTTTTACCAGTCTCTTTAAAGATGTAACTTTCAGTAATACTTAATGTTTCTTATACTTATTCTTAGATTTTAAGTTCTCTTTAAAATGATAGACTGAGTCTAGATTTCAAATTTAGTTGCTATATTTTATCTATTTCTCTATGTGCCAGGAGTGTATGACTAAGGAGGAAGAATCCTTTTAATTATATTACAATGGTAAAATTGTTTCTGTGCTTTGGAATAAGCCACCAAAAAGATAAAACAATTAAACTGCTAAGCATCTAGCACCAAAACTTCTCCCTATCTGCCCACCGGAGCAAAGAGCTGACGGATATATGATGCCTTGTCAAACATTATCAGCTGCATTGAAAAGAGATGAAACTGCAGAGTCAATATTTATAAGAGAGAAGACCCAGAAGACCTACCTGCTGGGACTCATGCTGCCACCGGGAAACTGACCTGTTTGTGTTTTTATTTCAGTGACGTTGTATGCCTCCTGTATTCTCCTGGGAGTGTTCTTGAATAGCAGTATACCTATATTTTTTGAGCTGTTTGTGGAAACTGTCTACCCAGTTCCAGAAGGAATTACTTGTGGAGTTGTCACTTTTTTAAGTAATATGTTCATGGGAGTGCTTTTACTTTTTCTCACATTTTATCACAAAGGTAAGAAATTTGGCTTCTTGTTTATGATCTAAACTAGAGGCCCAGTGCATGAAATTCATGCAGGGGTGGGGGGAGGGAGGTAGTGTCCCTCAGCCGTGCCTGCACACTCTCCAATCTGGGATCTCTCTCGCAATTCAGGACCACTGGCTCCTAACCACTCGCCTGCCTGCCTAATGCCTCCAACTGCCCTCCCCTGCCGGTCTGATCACCCCATCCCCCTGCCAGCCTGATCTTGCCCCTAACTGCCTTTGCCTCAGCCCCCACCACCATGGCTATGTCCGGAAGTAAGTCGGACATCCAGAAGATGGCTGTTTCACTGGTCTAATTAGCATATTATGTTTTTATTAGTATAGATGTGTTATGAGAGGGGTTTTGTGGCACTGCTATATAGGGAATTTATATGGAGAATTTTCATTAAGATCAATTACTTTAGTTGAGCTTTTACATACTAATAAAAGAAAATACCTTCAGTTTTTTAAAAAATGCATCCTAACATGATCTAATGTACCCTTACCCCCCTCGTCGAATTTCTGATTTAATTAACCTGGACCAGGGCCCAGCATTTATAATTTTTATAAATTCTAATATGCAGGTTCCCATTGAGAACCACTGGTATATTACTTTAAAGAATATTTAGAATCTCCTATCTTAACAGAGGTATATATTAATGTCAGGGGTACATAGTTAAGCCTTGGAATGAATGAGAGGTCACCCAAGGAATATATAGAGTGTATAGAACAGCACTGTCCAAACGGAGCTTTTTATGATAATGAAAATGTTTCTATCTGCACTGTCCGGTACAGTAGCCACTGGCCACATGAAGCTAATGCAGCTAAGGAACTGGATTTTTTATTTCATTTTAATTAATTCAAGTTTAAGTAGCTACTTATAGTCATGCAAGTATCGAGTGAAAAGAAGGTTGAAGTTAGGACCCGGAGGTACACATTTGAAGAAGAGGGAAATCCGTACAAAGGAGGAAGGGATGGGGTCCTGAACCCAAGTGGAGGATTTGCCTTGCACAAGAGGAGATAGGAGAGAAGGCTGTGTCGATGGGCACGGAGGCAGATACCTTTGCTGGGCAGAATATTGAAGGAGTTCATTCTAGATGGCATCACCGTTCTGCTTAGAAGCCAGTTTATTAAGAGTTAGTGGGAAGAAGGTGGAGAACAGGCTTCAGGAGAGAATGAAATTTTCACATAACCTTTGAGGGGCGGGAGGAGGCGCTACGGGGACAGCTGGAGAGGTTGCGGGGCATGTTGAAGGCAGGGCCACTGGTGTTCGGGTTCGTGGTTTGTATTTTTCTGTACAGTTGTTTGGTTTTCTCTCATGTTCTCTCTTCTGCAATCCAAATCCTGTTTTACTGTTTTCAGAAAATTTGGGCATAATTAACTAGAATTGTTTTTGCATGTTAAAATAAGAACTCATGCTTGTGACTCTTTGAATAGCAGCTTTTATTAATTTCTACTAGATTTATGTCCCATTTTATTTCTCATCTTAACCTAATATTACTACCCTCCCACTCTCTGGTTGCTATTCTCTTACTACTCATCAAATGCCAGTAAATGTGAATAATTTGTACATGGAAGAATCTTTAAGATTCTGATGTAAGAAATGCTCTAAAATGTGTTGCTCCAATAGGCCTAATTGTTTATAGGAAGCTTTCTGACAAGCTTATAATCGTAGCCACGACAACCTGCTTATCTGGTAAAGACATTTTTGAAACTTTCAAAGCTGATGAAACAGAATTTGCCCTAAGTTTTGGGCAACTTTTGGCATCATACTTTCACTTAACAGCAAAAAGCATACACACGATATATTCACTTCTAATTATAATTAACAACAAACTAGATTATTTCTGTCCATCAGTAATGCAGGTAAAGTAGGTTTTAGCTTTGCTAAGCCTGATGTGTGCTTGGTTTATCAGATGGGGAGTGACGTCAGTGACGTCAGACCACTCCTTACTGTCCTGGAAACGTGTGTTTCCTTTAGAGAAAATGCCGTCATCACCTACTGGACTAAGGTGTTTGCTTCCAGGGAGTTTTCTAAACAGAACCACCTGATAATTACCACCTATCAGCTTTAATCTACTTCAGTTATGTCACAGTTGCAATTAAGAGGCTCAGCACCTCTCTTTTGCCAGGTAAAGTATCAAAGATGGCTGTGTTGCCTCTCCGGGTGATAGAAGCAATTTTCCAGCTCATGGGCACAGGTTTGGTAGTGATCCTTGCAGCCCAGTAGAGCGTGGTTTTTCCTGTCTGCTGGAAATAGAGTTCTGTCCTCCCAGTATTTAGAAACAACAGTCGATGCCAGATATTGTTTACCCCAATAACCCTCTTGTGTGCGGTCTCTGGACTGTAACACGTATTTATTGATCAGTTTAGGGCACGGAATATCCTTACACTGTCTGACTGGAAGAGCCCAGGGCACTCCTGACTATCTGCTTGGTCAGCAGAATATCCCTGTCACACCCGAGATCCTGACACTCCCCCAGTGCTTGTTTTATTTCCTTGTAGATAACTAGCTGGCTGGTGTTAGTAATTTAAATATCTAGGCTTCTATTTTAAAGAATTACTTTTATATATTTGTTTTTGGGTGTCTATTAAAGGCACACAAACATACCCCACACCTCTCTGAGGCTGCAGTCCTCAGAACTAGGAAAACTGTGTTGAGAATCTTACACATGCAATTAATTGGTGTTGTCCCAAAAGTCCTGCAGCAAAAGTTCACGTGCCTTATAACTGAGGCATGATGATACAGAAATTGCAAATCTCAAAATTCTGTAAAATTATTTCCTAAAAATATCTTTTAGCTCCACACCCTAGTACCCTCGACAGTTTTTATGATACATTGAATTCCCTTCCATTAGAGCCAGTGTTCAGATGTCATCATTTAGTCATTTTAAAACTTGAAAAATTCACCCAGAAGTGAAGCTGTATGTCAGAATTCAGCTGTTAGTTACATGATTGGAAGGCCAGCTTTTTAATCATCATCAAGATCTGCGGCTCTTTAGGTCTCTTCCCAAAGAAGCACTGCACTTCCTGCCTGGAGTTCTGTCTCCCACAGTGTGCTGCCCATTAGGCGATTACGTCAGAGTTTTTTAGGGCGTACAGACTGGCCTGCAGTGAGCCCTTTATACGGGCTTGCCCAGCAGGAAAGGCTCCACTGGCGATTAGCTTGCAGCTCATGGCCATCGCCACCCTCAACAGCAAATGTCACTCAGGCTCCTACACCGAGGCACTGGAGCCCGGGGTCACAGGGCTCCCCAGGTCCTGTTTTGATTCTGCTTTGGGTACCTGGGACCGTATCAGAAGTTTCTTAGAGTTGTTCTGACCTGGCTTTTTCATGGTCACTTTAAAAAAATTGTTACATGCTCCCTAATAGGAGCATGTTTATAAAACTCAGTTGTTTCCTATAATATTTGCTTTGAGAATCTCAGTGAGTTATTTCACACAGCACAGTGATGCTTTCCTCTAATAACTTCACTTACAGCATCATTAGGGAGTGCTCTTATATTCTTTATATTCTCTGAAATGTATTCCAACGTTCTATTGTATGATTTGTAACTTATTCTGCAGTTTGTTTATCTGGTTTGTTGTTGTTCTAGAACAGGGATGGGCAAACTTTTTGACTCGAGGGCCATAATGGGTTCTTAAACTGGACCGGAGGGCCGGAACAAAAGCATGATTGGAGTGTTTGTGTGAACTAATATAAATTCAAAGTAAACATCATTACATAAAAGGGTACGGTCTTTTTTTTTTTTAAGTTTTATTCATTTCAAATGGGCCAGATCCGGCCTGCGGGCCGTAGTTTGCCCACGGCTGTTCTAGAAGCTTCGCAGCAGGTTTTGGCTAAAAGCCTTAAAGTTTGTTGTTGTTATTGTTGTTTTTTACCTCAGTCCTTTCATTTTTGAAGCAGCTGACCATGAATTTGAGGCTACCATGTGGCTCAAAAGATTCAGGGGTCTGGCGGAGGTGGGAGGCATTGACTAGTGGTTACAGAAGCTTCTATGTTGGCCTGTGAGAAGTGTTCTGACATCTAAGGAGTAAAATCAGGCAATGTGTTTGATGGTCAGATCTGGTGGGTAATTAACGTGGAGCGAAGGGAGCAGGGTGTTACTCTGTGTGTGAAATCGTGATGTCAGCTGGATCCTCACAAATGAGAATGGAGACAGTTTTGCTAAATCATCTGGTTAAACCACCAAAAACAAATAGAAGGTTCATTCTGGAGGGTGGTATCTGGATTCAAAAAAGTACCTGAAGGTGGTAGAGACGAAACCATGGCATCATTGAATGGAAAGAGCAGGTGGAAAGCACAGTAGTGCTTCTGTAGAAAAAGGTGAAAGGATGAGCAAAACCCTAATTAGTTTGGTCCCAACAGAGCATCGCCATTTGGTGCAGAGCCACTACACCGAGTGAAATATAGCACCTGTCCAAACTGTAAATTGGCAGAGAGCCTCAGGTTACAGTGTACGTAATAACTGACAGAGAACCAGCAGAAGCAGAGAGGCGAATTGCGGATCCTTGGAGTATAGATCTGTATTTTCTCTAGTTAAGGACAAAGGGAAGGAATGTTAGAAAACTGTGCTCACTTTAAAAGATTTAAGGATAAGAATAAGCAAATTCAATGGATTAGGACTCTGTTGGCTCAATTGTGTCCTATGACATCTGGCTCGAAAGGACAGCAGTTGACTTTGCGACTGCTAAGTTAAATGACACTTTTACACAAACCATTTCCTGATTGTTAGAGCGCCTACATTGTGGTTTATGTGAGTGGCTTCCGGTGGGAAAATGTACAGGTTCACATCCCTGACCTTTTGCTTTCGTAAAAGGCAAAGAATTTCAAAGAACACTTACAGTTACTGAGCCAAGTGGGTTTGACTTTTCAGAGAGAAGCATAATAGTAAACATGAACCAACCCACCATAACACTAAAGAGTAATGATGAGGCATTTTTAAAGACTTCATCTGAATGTAGGTAGAAGGAAGAATTTACAACTCTGATAAACTAGAAGGTCCACTTTGGCAATATTTGACCAAGTTTGGCTTATTATGGACAAAGTTTTGCTTTGGCAAACACTTAGCTAGGTTTAAGAAGAGCAAGGACAAGTTGATTGTTGCTGCATGTGTGTTTGCTCTAGCTCCCCATAAAAAACAGCTGGAAATTTTTTCCTTAAAATCAAAATACTCACTACAAATGGTATGATGTTGTCAACTGTTTTGCTGCTTTTTCTCTTCTTATTTTTTTACTGCTTTTTTTTTTTTGCCTGTTAAAATTAACATCAGAAATCCAGAATATGGTTAATATTAAAGCAGAAGACACCAGGTGTGTCATTTCAGGCAATATCAGAATAAAGACAAGATCACAGAGGTCACAGCCTCTCTGAGTGTTTAGATTATATTCAGCCCAAGTAAAGGACAGAAAACAGCTTTGCATGAACTATGATTGAAATACATGTCTTTGTTACATGCCATATAATAGCATGCTGACTTAAAATGTAGAAATTGAGAGGTAAGGAGGTGGCTCTTCTGAGCATATTACAGAAAAAAAGTATTTCAGCACCTTCTCTTACCCATTGGTTTTTGGGTTTCCATTCCTGAGCACAAAGTGCTCTTTTAGCCATATGAATTATGGATTAAACTGTGGGCATCTTTAGGATGATTTTTGAAGATTAGGGCAGTATTAGCATTCCGTAGAAGTACAAAGGGAAAATATAAACCGATAGCAGTGCCCAAAGAAAAGATGTCCCAGGGAACTTCTTTATCTCATTTGCTGTTTCTTTTTCAGTATATTTTATTGGTTTTTTTACCGAGAGGAAGGGAGAGGAATAGAGAGTTAGAAACATTGATGAGAGAGGAACATCAACCAGCTGCTTTCTGCACACCTCCTACTGAGGATGTGCCCGCAACCAAGGTACATGCCCTTGATCGGAATCGAACCTGGGACCCTTCAGTCCCCAGGCTGATGCTTTATCCACTGAGCCAAACCGGCTAGGGCCATTTGCTGTTTCTTTAAATTAAAAATGCTACATGGATATTAAACTATAGAAGTTATCCCCACCACTGCCACCAACCTCTTTATGCCAAGAAGCTGCACACTTCTGCACCCAGCACGTCAGGATCGACTGGTAAAGGGGTCGGGATAGGAGAAGGCTGAGCAGATGCCTCGCTGAAGGGCCACTGGAGCCGGAGGAATAGCTGGCAGCAGCCATGGTGTGCTGGTGTGTATTCATAGCAAGAGGCCCAGGATTGGCCTGTTGGCAAGTCCTGAATTCAGGAGCAAGCCTTTTTGAAGACATGTTCTTAATTCCATTAAATCAGCTCATAACAGAATTGTCTGTTTAGGTCAGCGGTCGGCAGACTGCGGCTCGCGAGCCACATGCGGCTCTTTGACCCCTTGAGTGTGGCTCTTCCACAAGATACCACGTGCGGGCACGCATGTACAGTGCGATTGAAACTTCGTGACCCATGCGCAGGAGTTGGTATTTTGTGGAAGAGCCACACTCAAGGGGCCAAAGAGCCGCATGTGGCTCGTGAGCCACAGTTTGCCAACCACTGGTTTAGGTGATTCTTGTAGGTTTTCTGGTCATTGGCATCATATGTAACTATGATGCCAGCAGGAAAAAGGAAGAAATAGATAAGCCAACATATGCACAGTAGTTTCTGTGAGGGTAGAATTAGGATTAATTTTTTGTTTTTCTTTAATTTTTATATATTTTCTCATCTGTTTTACAGTGAATTACTACTTGATGTTTTTGCTGAGAATTAGATGTTTCTATCCAAAAAATAAAAGTGTTATTTCAAAGTTCAGGTGATGTTCTTATTTGTCTTTCTAATCCAGCAGCTATTTCTAAATAAGTGAGAGTGAAAGAGGACCCTTAAAAATAATTAACAAACTAACATTTAAAGGTGATTGATTTTTTTCTTTGAAGTTAATAGATTCTTTTTTGCCACCAAAGTCAAGGTGGATTAAATTGATGAAAACTTATTAACAAAGTGATTAAAAATACTCCACATGAAAGCCCTGTAGTATATTACATGCATCACTTAGACCCCAGACTCTCTCTGTTTATTGAAAGCCAGTGCCAGGCCTTCCAGGGTGAGTTTATCGTAAGTGCTTTTGAATGCAGAGCAGCTTGCTCCCGGCCTACAGGAGGCATTCTGCTGGTGACACGTGAATGCTTACAACTGCGTGTTTTTGTCTTACAGAGTTGTCTTGGTTCAACTGGTGCCTTCCCGGGTCGTGTTTGCTCAGTCTCCTCCTCATTCTGTGCTTCAGGGAATCCTATGACAGACTCTATCTTGATGTGGTTGTCTCCGTCTAATAGCACAGACTCGAAGGAGTTTACAGAGAGACTGGAGATCCATTCTGCATCCTGCACATTTGCTCGGAATTGCACACCTGACGGATAAAAAGGAGAAGACAGAAAATTCATTCAGAGGTCTTGTGAAGTTACTGGTGATCACATTAATTTAATTACTTCTAGGTAATGATAATGTGGGACTCAAATGATAACCGGGGATTTAAAAACTCTCTAAATGGCATGCCTGTGCCCGCTGCTGTGGTTGGCAGTGTGCTGTCTTACACACAAGGCACTACCTAAATAATTCCCTCTGTGCTCTGTGCCAGTGCCACACTGCTGATGGATCCATTGTTACTATGAAAAGAAATAAAGGGCGTCTATCACATGGAGATAACGCCTTCCCTAAGGGACATATCAGAATAGGAAGTAATGCCACTAACTTCTAAAGAAGTTTAAACCTTATATCCGATTTTAATAAAAAAACAGCCAACAGGTATATCCAGAATAGAAATTAGCCCCATGTACACTACATTTTTTCTAATAAAGTCATTTCTTCTATGACTCCTTATTTTTAACTAGAGGCCCAATGCACGCAATTCATGCAAAGGGCTCAGCCCTCGCAGCCATGGCAGCTTGCCTCGGCCCTCGCAGCCTCGGCTTCATCTGGAAGGTCATCTCGAAGGATGTCCAGAAGGTCATTTGGCTGTCTGGTCTAATTAGCATATCATGCTTTTATTATTATAGATTAGGTCAGAAACCCCTGGCCATCTTGTTATGGTGACCAACCACTTTCCAGTGACTTCAGAACACACACTTTGTGTCTCGAACTAAAGTTATCCTTGTTTCTGTGAAATACAATTTCATCTATTAGACTCTTAAATGATTATATTAAAGGTGACTAAACGTTTAATGTAGCCTCATTAAAAATTGTATGACAAATGTAATTCCATTCTGATTTAGCACTTTGTTAAAAGAGAAATGACAAGTCACATAGGACATTCTGTATCTTCAGGTGTGTGTGTGTGTGTGTGTGTGTGTGTGTGTGTGTGTGTGTGTGTTACATTATTTACAGGGGTTACATTTTATTAAATGACCCTTGTTTGAAAATAACAATTTATAACATCGAAACTTCTGTTAATTACATTTTTGTATTTCAATTCATGTTGAAAAATATTTAGTTCTATATGGAGTCTATGTATTTGAGAGGGCACTATTTTGCCAGTATCCATTTTCTGTGTAAGAAGGATAGCTTTGTAAAAAATAACAGTAACTCATTGAACAGCTCTCAGACATGTACTTCACTGTCACATAAAATATGCTCTGGTGGGATTATTACCACCATTTACATTTACATAATTCCCCTCACACAGGAAAACCAAACATTTCCCCCAGAAGTCAAGAGTAATACTTTGCCTTCATTATTCTCAGTTTCATTCAACCTTCTTTCCTTTTTCCTTCCTTAAAATGTCTTCCAAATATAACTTATATTTGTCTTTTTTGGGGGCAGACAAGGTGCAAGCCAGCTCTTTCTGCTAGCCACGGCGGTGACGTATGGTTAAGGAAAGCTGGTCAGCACTTAATTACTCATCTCTCCATGTGTACATGATACCGTCACACACACTCATCCATAGTTCCAACTCTTAGTAAGTTCAAAGCTATTTATTAACTCACCTCGGTCCTGGAGGAAGATTCTATTACTTCTGAGCCTTCTTCTAAAATCCTAAATTGTGCAACTTGGAAAGTTTCTTACAAAAACCCTGAAATTTAACATCTGTAAGTCACCTTTAAATCATCTCCCTTTTATAACCACTCTGCTGACTTAGCAACAAGAAACAAAGGAACTAAGGAAGTTGCTGAAAAGTAGAAGAAAACCCATGAAAGCTAGACTTATTTCCAATGAACTCGATCATTCTTCTTAAATAAAAATAAAATAAAACCAGAATTCTTTAAGATGATTGAAAGGCAGCCACTAAGGATATTATTAGTTCATGCCCCAGAACCTAAATTAACCGCCAGCCCTTCTATTTAGAAAGAAGATAGAGAGCAGAGGGAAGAATTCTTAAGTATTTGGTTTTAGTCAGATCGATTGTGTTTGAGGATGTTGCTGTATAAAATTTTGCTGTAATGCTTCTGATATACTAGTAGAACATTTTCATTACGGTTAATTCTAGTTTTAACACAAAGTAAAGAATAACACTTATTACCTAAATGACTAATTAGTTAACAGCTCATTGGTTAATTCAACATCTCAAGTGAGTAGTGATTAAAAGTTCTCACATGTGCCAGACACCAGCCATTGTTTTTAGCATGAGTTGAGTCCCTCTGTCTCATTTATATCCACTTACCACTCCAGCAGATCATTCATTGTTCTCAACACAAATTGCAGCTGTTTTAAATGATTAAAATTTCATATACCAAATCTAATAGAAAGGGAACCAAAAAGCTTTGGAGTGGGGGAGGATTACACACTATTTATTTACCTGAATATTTCAAATCATATTTTTTCATTTTTGTTTTTATTTCTAGCTTGCATTAAAATAGGCCAGCTGCTATCTTTGCACTTTCTAAACAAATGTTATAGAATCCTAATGAAATTTTATAACTGAAAGAAATCTTAACTTTCCACTAACCCAAGCCTTCATTTTAGAATTTGTAGAAACAGTCCCAGAGAGGTCAAGGATCTTGCCAAAGGTCACACTCTTAGTGACAAAAGTAGAACTAAAACCCACATCTTCTGACTTATAAAATACTTTTTTCCTACCTCACAGAATTGCAGCTTAATTTGGACACTTGGGGGAGTTTATGAATACTCTTCCATGTTCACAAACAATGGGGCTTAAGAGTAAACTGCCATTATTTTGTGTGGAAAGTACAGAGATTAAATTGAGGTGATTATTTGGTTTTTAAGTGAAATCATTCTATTTTCTTCTTCACTCTCCAGTTGGTGCTCTAAGTCTTAGTTTGCAGAAAGATTCAGATGAATAATTCAGTCCTCATAAACCAAGTCCACAACATTATTAATTGGTAAGGACATGTTATAGTCTAAGTTCCCTGTGGCTTACCAATGAACACTTAGTCTATGGGAAGACACATTTTTTAATATGGTCCATGATGGAGGAATAGGAATAAGACAAGTACACACATTTCCCTGGAGGATGGAGCTAATAAAAAAATAAAAAGAGGGAAGCCATACAAGTATAATGTTGTATAGTTAAGCATATATGGCCTAAGGGCCAAATTTTATCATAGAGCACATATTCATGTTTAATTATTGAGAATGTTTACAACTTGTTGTTGATGAAGCTTTTCTAATGAAGGATTCATGCTAAGAGCTTTTAAATTGAAGAGGTTAAATTCCCATCTACTTATCTTTTAACTAGTTTTTGTTGCTATTATATTTATTAAAATCTAGGCATTCATCCTGCTGTTTGCATACGTACAAGCTTCATTTTAAGATCCAATACAAATGCATAGTAAATTTGCTTTCATGTTAACAACCACATTTAATTCCACATTTGTCCCTGAAATAATAAATAAAGGAATTACTATGATTGTGCCATATTATCAAGCAAGTGCAAAAGCTGTGATAGGAAGAAAGTGCCATATTAAAAAAGAAATATATAGAAAACTGTGAGAAAATGTTATCAGACCTATTTGACCTAAATATAGGAAAACTAGAATTCCATTCTAATTGGGAATTATGCAGAAAGAAGAAAGATAAAGTTTATTTCCAAAATATCAAACAGTTGCTACTCTGTTAGGGAATAGAAGCAAATCTTTGGGGAAAGTGTTGGACCATCCTAGAACAAAACTTGACAGGCAGGGGAGGGAATTTCCTTCTAGCAGCATCCATCAGGTAAGCAGGCATCATGTTGGCCACCCTGAGCATTCATTTCCTTTCAGGAGTTCTCCCAGCTCAGTTGAAACCTCAAAGTCAGGAGGTGAACAATACCAAGGCCCTTGAAAGGGTCACTTCTGGCCAGGGGATGGGAAGGATAGAGGCTGTGGGCAGTCTCTCCCTTGAACCATGCTTCTTTTTATAACCACTTTCAGTTTGTTCTGGGCAGGACAGAAACATCAGCCTCTTGTTTCACCGAACAGTTTCTCCACTGTCCTCATTGCCTGGCACCTCAGCTTTCGGAATGCTTGCATGAGTCAGACCTCAGCTCCATCCCTGCGACTCCTAGGTGCCCACTTCCTTGAACTGACTTCCTGGCACAGGCTTCTTCACGCCCTCCACCCCTCCCTCAGCTCCCAGGCCAAAGTCCCAGGCTCAGTCCTGACTGGTAGTAGACCTCCCTCTCCTGAAAGGATGCTAACATGACCCAGGTACTCCAGAAAGACTTAGCAATTCTTAGGGTCAAGGCTCGTAAGTTAGACTGTCTCCCTGAGATGAGAATTACAAAGGTCTCTAACAACTTTCTATACTTGTTATTTGCTGCATTTTAGAATACAGACATTAGATTGCCTTACGTTGTGTTTCTGTTGTGCTTTGGAACTTGGTGGACCTCAAACAGTAACTTTCCATTGGAGCCCTTACTGAGAAAGAGCAGAAAGTTAGCCCTGCCCACCTGCTGTGTTCATTCAACAAGGGGGCATTGAAATAAAATTTTAAAAAACACAGGTAAAAAATGAAACAAAGCACAGAATTCATTTCAGCAACTGACAAAATGACTTAAAACACACACACACACACACACACACACACACACACACACACACACACACACGTCAAACTCTTTTAGCTTAAACGTGCTGGGCTTGGTACCTGTTGAGGGTTGGGGCTCCAGAGGGACTGCCAGGAGATCCACCCCATGTCACAGGCTCTCAGGGTTCCCGCCTGGCTCTTCCAGTTTAAAAGGGAGGCGGCTTCAGGCTCAACCAAAATGGCCAGAATGACTTGGAGATACTTTTAATTTACCTCAAGGTTAGAAAATGATACTTCTTTAAGAAACTACAGTTTAATTTGGACTTCCTGTAATTCAGATTGGCTTTCTTCCCATGTACCCAGAAGGATCATAGAATCAAAAAGATGATCTAATCCAACCACCTCATTTTACAGATAAGTAAAAATAGAGCCTGAGAAGTTAATGACACAGCCAGGGCTTAGCAGGTCCCCTCCTCCCAGACCAGCATTTCCCCCCATAAATGTGTTACCCAGAAGTAAATTCTTACAGGTAAATTGTTTTCATTTCTTTAAAATTTTTGAAAATTAAACAAAAAATACATGACTGTATGCTCATTGTAAAATTCTAGTTCAGAAGTATAAAGTGAACCCTACAAACAAGTGCTGGCTAGTCCGTTCTCCTTTCCAGAGGTCATTCCTAGAAGCCTCTCAAATCTTTCTCTGCAGTTTCCTACAAATGTGTAAAACCTTGGGATTTAAAATCAAGTGACGGAAGGAACTGTTTCTCGGGCCACATTGGCATTAACTTTGGGCAGAAGCAGGAGTTTCTGAGATCCTTATCTGTCTCCTCATGAGTGTATCAAATGTCACAGTGGTTAATATTTAGCAGCATTTCACCGGCCTCATTATATACCATCAAGCTCTATCATATTCT